ATTGTCAAGTCCAAGGAAAGGGAAGGCCACTACACCGCCTTGAAGAAAATTTTCCAACGGATCAGAGAATATCGGTTGCGACTGAATCCTCAGAAATGTAGTTTTAGTGTCACAGCAGGGAAAATGCTGGGGTTCTTGATTACACAAAGGGGCATCAAAGTCGATCCTTCCAAAATCAAGGCCATCCTAGAAATGCCACCACGAAGGACTGAAAAGGAGGTGCGAGACTTTCTGGGTAAAGTGCAATTCATAAGACGGTTTATTACAAAATTAACCTTGACTTGTGAACCACTATTTGGTTTCTTGAAGAAAGGAAAGAAATTCCAATAGGATGACCGATGCCAAGTTGCTTTTGAGCAGATCAAGCAGTATCTACAGAACCCACTCGTGTTGTGACCGCCAGGTCAGGGAAGCCATTGATTTTGTATTTGCCAGTAACTGACACGACTATGGGCTGCATGCTTGCACAGGAATCTGAGGATAGAGTGGAGAATGCCATCTATTACCTGAGTAAGAAGATGCTGGAATATGAGACCCGTTACACTCCGCTCGAGAAGGCTTGCTTAGCCTTGGTATGGGCTACCAGGAAACTGAGGCACTGCCTGTTAGCTCACTCCATAATTCTGGTTTCGAGATTTGATTCCATCAAAAATCTCTTCGAGAAACCAGCGCTTACGGGTATGCTAGCCCGTTGGTTGCTTCTTTTTTTTTGAATTTGATTTGAAGTATATGACTCGCAAGTCTGTGAAAGGCAGAGTGGTAACGGAGTTCCTAGCCGATCACCCAGCGGAGGGAGACAAAGCAGTTGAGTATCTATTCCCAGATGAGGCTATTCTACAACTTGAAGAAGAGATTTGTACTATGTACTTTGACGGAGCATCTAACCAGTACAGGTATGGGATAGGGGTGTTGCTAATAGCGCCTGACAATTCCCATAAACCTTTAGCTTTCAAACTACGGTTCAAGGTATCTAACAATGAAGCAGAGTACGGGGCATGTATCGTTGGCTTGGAAGCCACCCTGGAACTAGGGGCAAAATGGTTGGACGTCATTAGGGACTCTAACTTGGTTGTATCTCAAGCGAAAGAAGACAGGAAGGTTAAGGAAGAAATGATGAAAATCTATCACCAAACCCTACGCGTTCTGATTCCTAGGTTTGAGAAGCTAACCTTCACGCATCTGTTAAGAAAGAGCAACAGGTTCGCTGATGCTTTATCAACTCTATCTTCCATGATAAACATCCCTTTGGAAAGCTAAAGGAATTCGAAGACTTGGTCCCCTACATCCCTTTACATACGGCTTCTGAAGACTTGGTCTATACAGGAATTCGAAACTGCTATGAGATTCTCGAGAAAGGGCACTCCAAATCAATCGGTTTATTCCTTGTCTCAATCCTCCGTTCGTTTTCTGAAGACCTTGACTGCTCTGAATTTAATACTCTTCTTAAGAGAATGAAACATGAAAAATTGAAGTGGGATAATTCTTTTAATGTCCACGGTATTTCTACCCATTTGCAATCCTCTATATGGATTTTTTGGTTGAATGACGTTCTTTCCACATTTGCCCCTATTTTGAAGAAGTGTGGGATTTATGCTGCAATCTATGTATCCCAATTTGCTTATGCTAGGAATGTTGCCCTGCTCAAAGGATTCTTAGAGCGGTGGTCACCCGACACCAACACTTTCTATACCATTTACGGCGAACTTGGGATCTCTTCATCGCATTAGTGGGCTCCCCATCCGTGGTGAGTTTTATGAGGAGTTCACCCCCTCCAATGACATTTTATATTCATCCCAGACATCCAAGGCATGTCGTGGGCTTTTCAAAATTTATGCCAGCTCTTCTCAATCCAAGTAGTTTAACCACTGGACTTTCAAATTCATTGATGAATCCCTAACTTCGATTAGTGGTTTTCAATGAAAAGATAGAATTCCTGATGATGTGTATCTTTCTGGTTTTTTGGCGAGCTGGCTTAGCGGATTTGTCTTCCCTCACTCTTCCAGGGAAATTCGTCCGACGACCTTTCATGTAGCCACCAAAATGGCAGGTGGAACCTTATTTAGCCTGGCCATCCCCGTCCTTGCATACCTTTATCATTCTCTTGGTAAAATGGCATCATCATCTTCACTTGGGAAAGAAAATATTCAGGGTCCTTTACATTACCTTTTTGGATGGATTTCATTATATTTTGTTAAGACTTACTCTCATGGGGATCCTCAGTCGATTTGTCCGATTTCTGATATTCATTTCATGCCATATCTTGGGTTTATTGGAAACCAATCGACTGCCCAGTTTTTTACTGATAAATTTCCATTTGTGGACTCTCTCCTAACTTATCGTACGGAGTGTTAGTTTAGGGCTCTTACCCATAAAAGTGAACCTTCAGGCGTTCTGGTCGACTCTGAAAGGATATCACCGTTCCACCTTGGCTATCTTATATCTTTGAGGCAAGGGATTTTAACTTTTAAAATGGGATTTAATTTCATTTCTGAACCGTACTCCCCTAGCCGATATGGTCGTCAATTTGGGTTTGCTCAAGCAGGCCCTACACCGCTTAATGTATCTTGTCGGCAGCCCTCTGAGTGGTCTAAATTTTATTACAACTGGTGCCATATGCTACGTTGCGGTACAAAAGTCTCATTGGAGTTACCAGGCTCCCGATCTACTGCTCACGTAACCATGCCTTATGCCAATTGGTGGTTGGGAACTTCTTTTACCGTGCTTCAATATGTTACTCATACCCAGCCGAAATCTTCACGCAAGAGAAAACTGGATATGTCAATTAAAGATCGAAAGATGAAGAATCCTCCTTACTCTAGAGCTAGGTCATCATCTTCACCTATTGCTCTGGAAGCATCATCACCTCAGAGAATGGATAATAGTCGACCACTTATCGCTCCTTCTCGATCTAGTTACTCGGTTTCAGAGCTCCTTCATCTTTTCGAGGATAAGTGTAATTCTCAATTTAAAATGGGATTTAGCTTTGAGCAAGTAGATTCTAGTCCTCAATTTTCTAATCTCGCAAAGCTTTTTCCAGAGACTATGTTTATCAGTGATTGTACAGGAACTTCCCAACCTACCATAGCGACCAAAACCCCAATGGATCAATTTCGCACATACTTGTACTCTTTTCTTGAAGATAAAGATGAGAATATGATTCAAGAACTCTTTGAGGGAGATGGGTATGAATTAACTACCTTGGGTCGTATTCGCATTAAGAGTGTTGAAATTCCTTCTCCTACCAAATCTTTTGATTGTTCTCTCAATGGAAGTAGCGAGAGTGAAGATGAGTTTTATGACTACACCCCTCTTTTAGATGGCACACCGACTAAGATGAGTAAATTGCCTTCAGCAAATGTAGCTTTTTCTTCTCCTTCGAACGAGTCATCCAAGCTATTAGAGAAAGGTATAATTTTTTTTTTCTTTTTTTTATTTTTTTTTATTATTTTTTTATTTTTATTTATTATTTTTTTTAATACCTTTCATTTTCTTAGACACTGCGCCTCGGACTTCCCCAGCTGCCTCGCATATGCCATTAGCTACCTTTAAGGGTATTCTTATTCATTTCTTGTACCTCATTTTATTTCATCATGTATAGATACTCAAAGAACTCTTTATTCTTTAGATCATGCCACATTGCAAAATCCATGGTCCACTTGTGGGAATCACAACTTGTCTCCTCCACCTAAGTCTCTTCAAGCCGTACACCAAGGTATACTTCATTCATCTATATATGTATATATATATATTGTTTTTACCTTCTACGTTTTCATTGAGTATCTCCTTCTATTTTCACAGCAAATACTTCTGACACATTGGAAAAGACAGACAAAATTACTTCTGATACCTCGGAAGAGGCCCAAATTCTTGCAGACTTACTTGAAGCAAATGGGGTTAACAAATTATTTGAAAAACTTGAAGCACCCTTTGCTCCATCTAACCTTCTTTTGGGAACTTTCTCTAACGAAGCAGCCACCCATATTCAGAAAGGTCTTACTATTTCTCTCCAATCAATGACGGATGTTAATGGCATGATTGCTGTAGCAAACAACGTTTTCATGATTTTGAAGAGTTTGGGTGTAGACTTCATCTCCTTTTATGAGAAGGTGAAGATATTCCTTGGGTGCTTTGCTTTGAAAACCCAACTTGAAGATTCTTCAAACTTGTCTACTGCAGAATTTGAGGCCCAATATTATGAGAAGAAGCTTCATTTTGACAAAGTTTCTGGCGAACATGAACAATTGTCTGCTTCACTTATCAAGTCGGATGAGCACATTGCGGGTCTTAATCAAAGGATTATTCAAACCAAAGAGTTACTCAAACAACTTGAAGAGGAATTGTCATCCACCCAAGCAGAACATGCATCCTTTATGTGTGATTTTGCACAAGCTTCCGAGAGTGTTTCTAAATTAGAAGAAGACGTGCAAACTGCTCTGAATGTTTTGAGCCAACACAAGAAGAAAAATGGACAACACAATGTTGTGGAACGTGCTTTTGAAAGGGCTAAGGCTTCTCTTAATGAACGAATGCACTTTTATTTTTTTATTCATCCGAACATAATGTATTTATGAAATTTTGCTCAATGATAGATTTATTTGTTATATGAAATTTCTCAATACAATACATTGATTTTTCTTATTTTAGCCGTACACAATAGATTTATTTGTTTATATGAAATTTCTAAATACAATACATTGATTTATCTTATTTTGGCCGTACACAGTTTATACTCTTGCGGGCCAAGAGTATCCAATGTTTTATCACCTTAGATTTCGGTGAGGTATTTTAGCAGTTTAACCACATACAATACCATTGGTGGTGTTTGACTTTTGTTTGGCCGTACACAGTTTATACTATTGCGGGCCAGGAGTATCCAATGTTTTACCACCTTAGATTTTGGTGGGATATTTTAGCAGTTTAACCACATACAACACCGTTGGTGGTTTTTTTTTTTTTTTTTTTTAGGCCGCCCTTTCGGGTTTTCAACCTAGCAGGCTTTCTTAAGGGTAATATCTTTTCAAGAACCTTGCATTGGTTGGGGGAATGATTCTGTCACCATCCATCGTTATCAACAAATAGGCCCCATTAGAGTAAACCTTCTCAATCACATAAGGTCCTTCCCATTTGGGCTCAAGCTTTCCTTTGGTTCTTCGTGAGACTACTATGGGTGTTCTAACCATTAGTACCAAGTCTCCCTTTTTAAAGGAACGAAGCCTCACTCTTTTATTGAATGCATTTGCCATCCTTTGTTGGTAAATTTCCAAGTTTTGTTGAGCATACAACCTTCTTTCATTCAGGGTCTCCAGCTCAGCCAACTTCACTCTTGCACTTTCATCTTCTGTTAAGGACTCTTGTATTGCCACTCGTAATGATGGTATTTGAACCTCAAGTGGTAACACTGCTTCTCCAAAAACCAACGAATAAGGAGTTGCTTGAGTAGGAGTTCTGTGCGAAGTCCGATAAGCCCACAAAGCTTCTTGTAACTTTTCGTGCCAAGCTTTTTTGTTCTTATCCACCATCTTCTTAAGAATTTTGCACAATGTCTTGTTAAAAGCTTCTGCGAAACCATTGGCAGGTGCATGATATCTTGATGAATGGTTGTTTTTAATTTTGTACTTGGCAAATAACTTGTTCAAAGCATCACTCCTGAATGGCTGTCCATTATCCATGATGATACTTTCTGGAATCCCGAACCTGTAAATGATATGGGTTCGAATGAACTCAGAGACAACTGTGCTTTTTATATCCTTTAAAGCCACGGCCTCTGCCCATTTTGAAAAATAGTCAGTTGCAGCTAGGATGTATCGATATCCTACTAAAGATGGAGGTACAAAAGGACCAATAATGTCCATACCCCATGCTGCAAATGGCCAAGAACAAGTTGTTAAATGTAAAGGCTCTGGGGGTTAGTGGAGAAAGTTCCCATGGAATTGGCAGACTTGGCATCTTCGAGCATAATCTATGCAATCTGCAATCATAGTCGGCCAATAGTATCCCAACTGTTTTAGCTGCATATGTAATTTAGGACCACTTTGGTGTGCCCCACATACACCTGCATGTATTTCTACCATTACCTCTTGAATACGCTCCTTGGCTATACACCGCATGAACATTCCATCCAAAGACCTTTTGTATAATGTTCCATCTTTCCACAGGACAAATTTGGTAGCTCTGCGTCTCACTTCAATTCTTTTTACTTTATCTTCAGGTAGCCTACCATGTTGGAGGTAAGCTATGAATGGTTCCCGCCAATCCTCCTCACTTTCTCATTTTATAGTGACGACAAAGATTAGAGCCAAGTCAAGGACCCCTTTCAAAGGTTGTAATACCCTTCTTTCGCTTACTGTGATAGTAATTGTTTTACTATCTGGTAGGGTGAGTGATGTAGCCAAACTTGCTAGTGAGTCAGCTAGAGCATTTGTTCTTTTTTTTATATGGAAAATATGCGCTTCCCTAAATTGTGAAAGCAATTGATCAGCCCTTTCATGATACGGGATGAGACTTGTTTTCTTAACAATGTATTCTCCACGGAGTTGCTTTACCACCAGTTCCGAATCTCCATAAATTGAGAGTTCTTCAATAGGAATTTATAATGCCAATTCTAATATAGCAGTTACAGCTTCATATTCTGCCTCATTATTGGAGCATCCTTCACTTAAGGCAAAAGAATAGGTGATTATAGCATTGTCTGGAGTCACAAACACAATTCCAATTCCAGCTTTATTGTTTTTAGGATTTTCTTGCTTCTTACCATCTGGACTCCTTGAAGCTCCATCAAAATACATCTCCCATCCTTTCTGAATTTCTACTTGCATAACCTCTTCATCTGGTAAATCAGTTACTAGAGGTGAGTTATCAGGTATAGGATGTGCTGCCAAAAAATCTGCTAGAGCCTGCCCCTTTACAGCTCTTTGGGGAACATATTCAATTGCGAATTGTTGGAGAATTACAGCCCACTTTGCAATTTTCCCTGAAAGTATGGGCCGTGAAAGTATATATTTCAAGGGGTCTGCTCTTGATATCAACTTGACATCGTGTTCCAAGACATAGTGCTTTAGTTTTTGCAAGGCGAACACCAAGGCAAGACATGTCTTTTCGATAGGGGAGTAATTGACCTCTGCCCCAACCAAAGTACGACTCAAGTAATACAAGGCATTTTCTTTCCTATGCTCATTATGTTGTGCCAAAAATGCCCCTAACGAACCATCCAAGGCTGTTATGTACAACAAAAGTGGTTTTCCTTTTATTAGGCTCATAAGTACTGGAGGCTTCAAAAGATACTCCTTAATACTATTAAAAGCATTTTGGCACTGCTGATCCCATTCAAATGGAACACCCTTTTTCATCAATCTTGAGAATGGCAAACATCGACCAGCCAAGTTAGAAATAAATCTTCTGATATTGGCCAATCTCCCTTGTAGCCCCTTCAATTCCCTTAAATTTCGTGGAGGAGGCATTTCGGCAATGGCTTTAATCTTGGTAGGGTCAATTTCAATCCCTTTGCTTCGAACCATAAACCCAAGAAATTTTCCTGATGAAACTCCAAATGCACATTTTAGTGGGTTCATCTTGAGTTTGTACCTCCTCAAACGTTCGAAGATTTTTCTCAAATCTTCCAGATGGTTTTCCTTTTCCTTTGTCTTGACGACAAGATCATCAACATAGCATTCGATGGTGTCATGGAGCATATCACCAAAAATTACAGTCATCGCCCTTTGATACGTGGCCCCAGCATTTTTCAAGCCAAAAGGCATTACCTTATAGCAAAAGACTCCTCTCGGAGTCCTGAATGCAGTCATTTCTTCATCTTTAGGTGCCATTCGGATTTGATTGTATCCTGAGTATCCATCCATAAAAGACAAGGTTTCATACCCAGTAGTTGCATCTACAAGAAGTTCAGTGATGGGCAAAGGAAAGTCATCTTTAGGACAAGCCTCATTGAGAACACAAAAATCAATGCAAACCCTGATTTGACCATTCTTTTTCTTGACTGGCACTATGTTTGCTAGCCAGGTTGGATATTTGACTTCTCTGATGAATCCTGCATTGATAAGCTTGTCGACTTCGGCTTCAATTTGGGCTGTAAGCTCTGGTCGAGTTCGCCTCTAAGGCTGTTTAACCGGCCGTTTCTCAGGGTGAATTGCAAGCTTATGGACTACAATCTCTGGATTAAGACCAGGCATCTCACTATAGTTCCATGCAAATATGTCACGATACTCCCTTAAAAAGGAAATATATTACCGAGCATCTTCTTCCTTTAAATTTGCACTAATGAAGGTTGGTTTGTTTTCTCCTTCATCACCCAGATTTATTTCACGAAGGTCATCCACAGTGGCTTGGCCTCCTGTTTCAAATTCTGTTGGTGCAGGTTGAGCTTCATCTTGGTCAACATCTTCCAACACATCTTGAGTGATAGTCATGTTTACTGGAAATTTTTCCTCATCCCCTTGATAGCCTAACCCTTCTGTCCTGGCGGTGATAATACCGCCTTGCTGGATAGCCTGCCTCTGTGAAGGTGTTAATGCAAAGTCAAAGGGTGTCATTGTTCCTGGTATTTTTTCAGGATCTAAACCAACTTTTACCAACATCTGTGTGATTTCTGCACTGAAGGTAGGCTTCTCAAAACTCGAGATGTTTTGTTCTGGCACTTGTTCAACTTTCACTTTCTGTTCAACATCTCCAAGTGAGTGGAATATGATGGGTTTCGACCCTTTTCCTTTAGAAGGGACCACAATCTTATTATATTTCTCCACATAGGTGCATTCTGTCCTCCTTAATAGCAATGTGAACTCACCCTTGAGATCCAAAATTGGATTTATTGGGGCTAGAGCCTTTGCCCCCAATTTCCTTTTGAACTTTGGCACATATCGAAAAGTTCTTTTTGTTGAAACTGGAGTAGACTCTAGAGCGTCTTTGACATTCGGAGTATCTTCAGACTTCTTCACATCTTTTCCCTTTCTTTGTGAAGTCTTTGTATAAAAGCGAGCATCAGCATAGTAGGCCTCTACTGCTCCAAATGGATCATTGTCAGCCACAATTGTCCCCTCTTTTTTGGGTGAAGGCAACGGGTACTTAATACATTGGTGATAAGTTGATGGCACTGCATGATGATTATGCATCCATGGTCTCCCAAGCAAAGCATTGTAAGAGGTGTCTACATCAATAACCAAGAACTCAGTGCTTTCTTCAATATCCCCAAACTTGGTTTGCAATTCAATTTTCCCCATTGGGCGTTGCTCATTCTTTTTAAATCCTTGAATGACCAAACGACTTGGGCGAAGTCATGAAATTCGAACCCCTAATAAATTTAAGGCCCTCCGAGACAGAAGGTTTACTGCAGATCCTCCGTCAACGAGAATTTGAGAAATTTTCACATCATGGATAAGCCCAGTGATAAACAAAGGCCGATTATGGTCTGTCATTTCAACACACATGTCTTTGTCACCAAAGGTTACCATAGCCATGCATGTAGTTGCCTTCTCTTGATTTCTACCCTCAATTCCTCTGTGGAAATCCTCTAGCTTGGACAGGGCATATATTAAAGACTTTCGAAGCTCTGGAGACATTTTTAGTGCATCATATACGCTCAACAATGCTGGAATTTTCTTTTGATCAGCTAGTACATCATATTTCACTTGCTCTTCCTCCAGCAAAACTTGTGGAACTTCTGACGTCTGAGGGTCCTGAGGATTTCCTAATTTCCTCCAGTAGGTCAAGTAAGTCTGGAATACTTCAGCAACCGCCTTTCGTTGACCTCAACTTCTTTTATTCCCTCACTTATTTAGACCATGTTAACTGGTCCAGCTGCAGGGCGATCTTCATCATCAGTCACTTCTCCATTTTCCTGGAGCTGCATTCTTCTCCCATTTCTTAGGTACCGGGAGTCACGCCTATAAAAGCATTGAGATTCTTCAAAACCATTCTTCATGGCCTCCCAACTAGGCACCACGACTCCATCGAGGGAGCAATACCAGCCAAAGGTGATCCCCCTCTAAGGAAAGGGGGAATTGTTTTAGGCAAAGTGCTTGATTTTGAGCTGTTTCCCCACACTGTTTCAAAAAACGCCTAATATGTTTTTGAGGATCTCCATACCCCTCATATAGGACAAAATTTAGAAGTTCGTATCCTTCAGGAAATGGTGTTTGCTCTACCCATAAAGGGAACAAATCCCTTGGGCGATAAGTGCCCATCTCTCGAAGGTCAAGGGCAGTTTCAATCTTCTCCTCAATTGTGCCTTCTATGAAATCATATGTTTGAGAAGATGTACCTTCGTCATCCAAATGTTCTGACATCTTAATTTCTATTGGCCATGGTTTATAAAATGTCCTATAGAATCAATCAACCATGGTGTCCCAATCTGGGATTGAATTAGGTGGCAGGCTAAAGTACCAATCCGCTGCCCATCCTTCCAAAGAAAGAACGAACTGCCGTAGAAGTAACGCCTGGCTTTTTACTGTGCTTCCACATTGAGCAAGGAAACGAACCAAATGGCGCCTTGGACAACCTGTCCCATTATATAAAGGAAAATGAGGTATTGCATATCCTCGTGGGAACTGAACCCATTCGACCCAATTAGGGAAAGGGTGTCCAGAAATTTGATTTCTTTCAATACTCAAATTTTGATGGGCTTCAAAACCCTCATCTTTCAAAGAGACTGTTACTTTTGCCTGATGTTCCGCTTCCCTTCTAGCTTCAATTTTTGCTTTCTCATCATCACCTGGATTGCGAATGATATGTATTTCTCGCTCTTCAAAATTTACATCCACAGTGATGACATTACAAGGAAAGTCAAAGTGGTCACTTGATACACTTCTCCATCGTATGTCCTAGCTGGGGATGTGTATAGTGAACC